AAAGGTACCTCCCGGCTCTAAAATTCTTTGGTCATATACTGACTTCCGGACAGGCCGAAAACCTTCTGGGGCCTTTCCTCTCCCAGGCTACAGATTTAGTTCAGCGAGTTAAGAAGACAGAGGGGAAAGATGCCTGGTGGCAACCACTACTCCATTAAGATCCTTATCAACAGTAAACAGTATGCTCTGCCTTCTCATGGGCCCCACTGGGAAACCAAAACTCCTTCTGGAATAAAACCTTCTACATCAGTCCCGTAAAAACAGACAGTAGATTCACCTAATTCCAGCTTAGCAAGCAACACTGCAAAACGGGCGATGATGTCTGATGTGTTTTCCCGCCCACTGAAGTCCTTGCCAGCGGGCTAGGCTTAGGTGAAGTCACTCCTTAGGTTCGATCTCTATTCTACTCTAGCTGGTCGTTTTCTCCCACTTCAGTGCTTCCGAGTGATGTGTTTGCCCCTTGCTCTTTCTCTAAATGCAGCGGGCCTCCAGGAGATGATACTAGCTAATCCCTACCTGGTAAAACAGGAAATGCTCTTTCTTTTTTTCTTGCCACTTAGCTACAATCTATGTTCTTTAGTCACAATCTATGTTCTTTTCTGGTGCATGAATTAGTCAGAAATTTAGGCTTATGTGTACAGTGTTTTTCACTTGTGGAACACATCGAAACAGAAAGCCAATTTTTGTTAATCTGCAAAGCCAACTTTGGTTAAAGTAATTTAAAGGCTTCAAAACAGAGATGAGTAGGAACATCTTGAACATACAGAGAGACACTGTGGTCAGCGGATGTGCTTGGGAGACTGAGCGTCCTAGGCTAATGCCTGCTTTCCACTCACTACTTCGTGGCCTGGGGCAGATCATTAACTTCTCTGTGCCTCAAATTTTCCTCGTCTGTAAAAGAGGGATAACACTACCTACATCAAAGAGCTGTTGTGTGGACATACATCAGGTTTCTGTAAAAAGTTGATTTCCAACAGATGTTAATGGCAGGCAAAGATATTTACGGAGGCAGCGGGAAGAACATATAAGGTATCAGTGAGTTCAGCTTTCACTTTTTTTTCTTGAGAGGTGAAGAGCACAGCAGTTAAGAACACAGACTCTGGGGCCAGGCTGCAAAAATTCAAGTCCTGGCAAGTCATCATTTATAAGCTATATGACCTCAGGCAAATTACTTAATCTATCTGTGTGCCTCATCTGTAAAATGGGGAAGATAATAATAACCTTATCTCATTGGGTTGTTAGAGTTAAATGAGTTAATACACATCAAGAATTTAGAACCGTGCCTGGACAGAATAAGCATCTGTATGGGTTAGTGTGATGGTTAAGGTTATGTGTCAATTTGACTAGGCCAAGGTACCCAGATGTTTAGTCAAACATAAATCTCGATGTCTCTGTGAAGGTATTTGTAGATGGAATTCACATTTAAATCAGTAGGTTGGGTAAAGCAGATTTTACCCCCATAATGTGGATGGGCCTCATCCAGTCAGTTAAAGGCCTTAAGAGAAAGACTGACATCCCCCAAGGAAGAAGGCGATCTGCCTCCAGACTGCCTTGGGACGTGAGTGCGGCGGCGTCTCTTCCCTGGGTCTCCAGCCTGCGACTCTGCTGCAGGGCCTCTGTGCGTGCCCTCTCTTTCGCCTAGAATACTTTTCCTCCAAATATACGCAGGGTCTGTTCTCTCTCTTCAGATTTGGACTTGCCGGCTCCCACATCCCATGAGCCAATTCCTTAAATCTCAGTCTCTCTCTCTCAGCCCCCGCCCACACACCCACGCACGCATACGTACACACCCTATTGCTTGTTTCTCTGGAGAACCCTAACAGTTAGCAATTATTATTTTTGTTTACAGCACAAAGTGATGCTCTATTCTGCCTCTTCTCTAAGAGTACAAGCAATCAGTAATCACATGGCAAACGTTCACTTTAATCCTTCCGTTGCTGAAGAGTTAAGAAAACTAAGAGGAGAAAATTAAGGTTTGCCTAAGCAGAGGCAAGGGAGCGAGGGGGTCAGAACCCTCACGGCAGGTTTAGGAAATGATGAGTTTGGGTGGAATGAGTGTCCGTTTAGGGAAGTAGTGGATCAGAAGGCTGCTGAAGGGCAGGAACAAGCTCATGGAGAAGTGTGAATACTAGCCTTAGAAGCTTAGAATTTTTTTTTAAACACTGTTGGAAATGGGGAGCTACTGAAGCTTCGTGAAACCGTGCTGTAAGATGAAAAATAGTACCAGTGGGTGTAGGATGAATTAGGAGGGAGAAGCCACAGAACGAGAGAACGCGTAGAAAATGTTATGTAACCTTGCATTCACCAGTTACATATAGTTCCAAGAGCACTAAGCATCTATTTCTACACTATTTTCATTGGGTCACATTTCAGGCCATATGACAGTCCCTCATGTGGGCAGGCTGACGTCCCTCTCTTGGTCCCCTTCCCTTTCTTCCCTTTGCTGTAACTCTGCCCTCTTCCCGAATCTCAGCGTTCTGCCTCTTCCCTGTGGTCTATGCCAAGGTGGGGTGGCGGCAGGGAACACCATTTCTGTTGTCCTTTGTGACCCGGGGATATCTTTCCTGGTTTCATTCTGGGAAGATGATTGTCGATTCTTATTTTATGGGAAGGTATCTTCAAGAGAACCAGTGTCCTTCTTGCTAACTTCTCATAGCATAATCATTATGTGCTATTAGTTTATTTGAATTTTCACAACTTTTTCTGGAGTATTCTTGTATATAAAATCTAGAACACCCAAAGCCAAAGTAACATTTAAATGGTAAATGTTAAAGGCTGGTTTTCGAGTCTATATTTAACACTACCAGGGTTAAGAAACACAGTCCGGTACTTCCCCAGAGTATGCTAATTAACTAGGGGAAAAATACTGTCTCTTCTGTCATTGGAAGGGAAACTGACCAATAGAAAAGCAGTTCAGCACCTACACCCACTCTGTATACCTAATGAGGTGTGTTTGTACATGCCAATAACTCATGCTTTGGGTTGCCTGACAACCAGTGACAAATGTGCCTTTCATCATCTCTTACAATGTTACTTTGGGATACTGAACTCTAATCTAACTGAGACTTAGGAATGAGTTTAGAAAATTAGGTATTTCCAACAAGTTATAAGCGTACATACTTCTGAAATTACAGATCTCAAAGACAATGGTAGTTTCTATTAACACTGCATGCATTTTTCTGTTGTTTATCCACTTGTATAAAACTACTTATTCGAACATTCCCTTCATTCTACTGACAAGAAAAGTACTGAATATTCCTTATGAAGATTACAGGGAATTTTTGGCTTGTTTCAGCCATATCCTAATAGCAGTACATTAGCAGATATGACTTGGCAATAAACACGCAGTTTACATTCTTGAAGGTACAACTCTGACCGTGTCATTCTGTATCATTTCCCACAGCTGGAAGGGTACAATTTTAATTTTAATTTGTTTATATGTTGCTTTATAGGTGGACCGAACTTTTTTTTTTTTTAAAACTAGCTATTTATTGGCTCCTCCAGTTCACTTCAAGTAAAATCTTCAAAGAATAATAACACTGGTTTTTTATATGGGACATTTAATTCTCTGCTTAATTGAATTCTTGTAGCAGTTATGAAAGTCAGCCAAGGCAGGTTATATTTAGTGTTATTTTACATCTGATAAAAGAGGGGCACAGCAAAGCTAGCTACTTGTCTGAGGCCGCCCATTGGTCAAAAGCAATGTTGGCATTCCAGACTCAGGCGAGGTATATTTTCTGTGAGTCCAAGATACTTCTCAAGAGTTGGAAACTTGTTTTTTCTTTCTCATTCTTTCTAGGTAGGCTTGTATAATATTCAGCAACTGAATAATCCCTAACTTAAGAGAAAGACAGAGACAGAAAGGGGAAGAGGAGCCACAACACTCCAAGAATAATACTTAGAGAAAGCCATACTTCTCCAGTTAGAGCATTCACCATACCTAGATAAATGCCTACTATCTCCTCTGCCCCCTCGCAATTTTCCTGAGAACAGAGACATTTATATTTTTCATTCATTGCTATAAACCCAGTAGAAACTTCATGAAAAGTTATTGAAAAAATGAATGAAAATTTCTTTTTGAATAAAACTGCCCCAAGAAAACCTCAACCAAATGATTTTAAGTTGGAGCTACTAACTGTAGGAGTCAGGATAGGCTAGGTTAAGTTAGCTCAAGATGTAGCAGCAAACAGTATCAGGGGCTCAAAACCACAAAGGTTTGTTTCCTGCTCAGCTATCTGGCCACGATGGGTTGGCAGCAGGATTCTGTTCTCCACAGTTAGTTACTCAGGAACCGGACGGAAGGAGAAGCAGTGATCTGGAACTTCGTTAGTTGTAATGGCAGAGGGAAATAAGCCTTGAAGGGTCTTGCTCCAACTCAGAAACGCTGTCACCTCCACGCACAATTCACTGACCTAAACTAGTCACAGGCTCCCTACCTTCCCACAGCACCACCCATGAAGGGGCCAGAAACTGCCTGGGAGGTGGAGAGCAGGAACTATTTGGCAAATGGAGCTAATGACTATCATATTCCATTTCCTTGATTTTGAGCTTTTGCAATTTAAGTAACAAAATGCAATTTTGTTTATAACTTTTTCTATATTTATAAAATACGATTTTCCTCATAACAGCCCTATATGAGAATGATGCATAATGAGATTAAATACTTGAATAGGGCCAAATAGAAAAGTCAGAGGTGGAAATGGAAAGATAATTCAGATCTCTATAACACTGGTACTGGATGAAGCTCATTTATTCCATATTTGTGGGAAAAAAAGGAACAATTACATTCTAAAGTAAAATCAGTGCTACAAGTTTTAATAGGGTTCAAAGACAAGATGTAAAAATTGTTTGTGTCAGGGTTTTGGCAATTATTCTGGTGACACACAGAAGGGACATCTGGGCTAGCAATTCTAGATAGAAAACCACCTGAACTGTGGAAAACTACAAGCTAATATCTCACACTTTAGGCATGAGGCCAGAAGTAGCATCCGGAGTCTTACCTGGAGAACTGCTGATTCTAACGGAGGAAAAGAAAAAATGTTTCCTTTTACCGTCTCATGTTCTCTGGCTGGGACCCTGGAAATTAAATTGACAAAAGACAAATAAAGAAGAGAAAAAACAGTTTTAATCCTGTAAGTATGAATGGAAATTTCATAAAGAAATGAGACCCTAGGAGACCAGATGATTGAGGTTTATATACTATTTTAGGCTAAACAAAGGAAAAGGGGCTTTGAAGTAGGGGAGGCAAGTTACAGGAATGCAAGGGCAGGAAGCGTGTATTAAGTAAGGGTTGTCTTGTTATGTAGAAAGGAGTCTGTCAGGCGGTAATAGTTCTCTCTGGGAGTAGCACTCTTTCTGGTACTTCCAGGAGCCACCATGAAAGATGGAAATTTCCTTTATAAATGTAAATTTCCTTTACTAAAGGGGAAATTTATACTCTATTTTTAGGCAGGGGGAGGTGAAGAGCTTTTTCTGCATCTCCTGGTCCTCAGTTGCCTTTAGTTCAAAATAATCCAAAGAGGGCTCCTCTGGTGGCGCAGTGGTTGAGAGTCCGCCTGCCGATGCAGGGGACACGGGTTCGTGACCCGGTCTGGGAGGATCCCACATGCCGCGGAGCGGCTGGGCCCGTGAGCCATGGCCGCTGAGCCTGCGCGTCCGGAGCCTGTGCTCCACAACGGGAGAGGCCACAACACTGAGAGGCCCGCGTACCGCAAAAAAAAAAAATAATAATAACAATCCAAAGAGGTGTATTTTGGGGGTCACATATTCTGGTACCCTTCACTGACTATACAAAAATACCATCTCTAATGTTTTAACAAGAAAAAAATTGGTTATTCATTAGTGAATATTAATAAAATTATCAATTCATTATTCCACAGTATTTGGCCCCCAGGAGCATTAGCAACTAATCAGGAAAATGGGTAGTGTTAAATTAATTAAACAACGCCTTAGTAGCCTAAGTAAACAAACCAAAACCTAAATCTATAGCGCCCTAAGGTTACGAAATGAAAACCTAAGGACAACCAACCACAAAGTCAAACAGACTTCCCCAAATACGGTACCTATTTAAACTGTAGCCAATCAAATCATTTTCTTGCTTGGCTTTCACATCTTCTCTATAAAATCTTGCCTCTAGCTGCGCTCCTAACCAATTCCGGTTTGGTGCTGAACAATTCCAATCAGTTTTGGCTCAAACTCTTAAAATGTGTAATACGCCTCAATTCATCTTGTAACAGTTCCAGTCCAGTGGTTCATTAGCCCAAATCTCAAATGGTTTATGTCCTCACTTTATATTTTATAAGGCCTCCTGCGACCTGTCCACCCACAGCCTTGTGACCCATCTTGAGTATAATTTCCCAAGAGTGACAACTATCAAATAGTTCAAGTCTTTAAAATATAAAGTGAAATAAAAAGGAGCTCAACTTAATGAAGCATGGAGTGTTGCATCCACTTGATTCTTTTGGACATTATGCACTGATCCCGCATGTTGAGTATATGTACATTTGTACTACATTTAGCCATGCTTCAGAGATGCAAAAGGCAAAAATAAATAATTCTAAAGAAGTAAACTGCTGGCTTTATTCCTAATCAACTGTGGTAGAATGTGGAATGGTATGGTTTTCAAATATAACTCCAAGGACTGTATTAGCACCAAACATATGCATATTCTTCAGGTCAGCCTAACTGACCTTGTTTATCATATGCCTGTGAATTACAGTCTATTATAATAAAAGGATGTAGCAAAGTCATGATGTTCTCAAATCCTGGACATGCAGTTTGCAACTGCTTAAAAAGAAGGTCAAAATGCCATACATAATTACAAGTGTTTTAGACTTCCAAACTTAAAATTTCTCACGTCAACAGTTCTTGTTGCCAAAAGTTTTCACATTTGTGAGAGCAAAGCCCTTGATGATCTGGGGTCTGTATGTTTGAGATACTGCAATACATGGTACTATATTACTGATGAACAGATTCAAAAATAACTTAATTGTATTTAAAACTCAGCCACCAGATCTCTCCATCAAAAGAAAAGGCCAAAAGACACGTACTAGAATGTTTATAGTAGCACTATCTGTAATAGCTCCAAACTGAAAACTACCCTGATGTTCATCAGAAGGATGAATTCAAAGGTATGTTTACAGAATGAAATAACATGAATAATCTACAACTATATGCAACAGTATGGAAGAATCTCATAAGTATAAAGTTGAATAAAGGGCCAAACACAAAAGAGTGTATACTTCGTGATTCTATATATATCAAGTCCAAAGACAGGCAAAACTAATCTATGTTGTTGAAAGTCATGATAGGCAATGACTGGAAGGCAGTATGATGGAGTCCCTGGGTGTTTATAATGTTCTGTTTCTTGATCTGGGTGGTGGATACACGGGTGTGTTCAGACTGTGAAAATTCACTGAGCTGTATACACTTGGGATATATGCACTTATATAGAGAGAGACACACACACACATAACAGGGTGGGAGAGGGCTTTCTGTAAATAAGATTGCCTTGTCTGATGGTTCAGATATGCATGTGTATGTGTGCGTGTGTGTATATATATATATATGGCTTCAATAAAATGATCAAAGAACAGAAAATTCCAGGAAGCCCATGAAAATTGAATCACTCTCTAAACAGAATGCTCAATGAACTGGTTTCAGAACAGTTGTCCGGGGAATGGGATACCTAATATGTCAAAACAAGCTAATAATTTATCTTTAAAATCTCTGCTTTTCTCTACCTCCAGTGATATCACCATAGTTTAAAACAGGTCATCTCCCACCTTGGAGTTCCTCTGATTTAGTCTCCTAACCAGTCTCCCAATAACCTGTTCTACCTATTCACCTACACATTAACCAAAGCAGTTTAAAGTCTAAACCAGATCCTTTTTCTCCTTTGCATAAAATGCCTCAATAGAGTCTCATTATATTTAAAATGTAAAGCAAATTCCAAGTCTTGGCTACATCCTCTGGCCTCTGTCTACCTCATCTCCTTCTGTCATGCTGCTCTCTCCCTCCCTCTAAACTAGACCCACACTGGCCTTTCTGTTCTTCCAAAATGTCAAGCTGTCCCACCTCAGGACATTTGCTCTGCTGTCCCCTCTGCCCAGAACAATCACTTTCCAGGTGCCGTGGCTGACTGATCTTCTCACTCTTTGTTTAAACGTTATTAAGTTCTTATAGAACAACCCTCTCTAGCTAACCTCAACCTCCTATTATCCTCTGTATCCACATCTGTTTATTTCCTTCCTTGACATGATTTGTTATTATGTCATTTGCTTGTTTACCTCTTTCTGTTCTCCCTCTTCCTCCTCCTTAGACTGGAAGCTTTATGAAGGCATCTATCATGTCTATTTGTGTCGAGATTTATCTCCAGTGCCTGGCACACAAAAGGTCCTCCCTAAACACACAGAAATACTTGTGGAATAAATGAATCAACATTCTCAAGGGGAGTCTCCTGGCTGTCCACTGATTAGGACTCCGCGCTTCCACTGCAGGGGGCAGGGGTTCCATCCCTGGTGGGGGAACTAAGAGCTCGCATGCCACGCGGTGCAGCCCAACCTCCCCCCCCCAAAATAAATAAATAAAAAGTGAAAAAAAACCCCACACATTCTCAAGGGATCACGAGATGCCTGTTCAGTCACGAAGAACGGTGCACTGTTGAGTTTTTCAAAGAACAGCAATGAAACCAGATGTCTTTCATTACCTCCGCCCAGGCAAAGTGTTGGCATTCCGTTCTGGCTTTCCTAGTTGTCACTACCGCTCCACTGCCCCAAGCGACACACTGCCTCTCCTCAACCCCCTGGCGAGGTACCAAATTTCTCGACCTCACCCACCGCAGAGGCGCTCCCTCATTGGCCAGAGAGCCACGGCCTTCGGAAGGGCGGACATCCCCGCGAGCCACCACTGGCCCAAGTTGACGTCGCTCTGCGGTGCACTGCTGAAAGTCAGCCAAGTCCAACGGCCCTTGAGGGGAGGCTCGGTCCCGTCAGAACCTGTGATTGGCTGCGACCGAGAGCCCGGGAGGCGTGCGCGCCTCGCCGCTGAGCGCGGATTGGTCGGAGCTGCCATCAGTCAGCGGGAACAGACGTGCCCCTCTCCATCTGGCAGCTGCCCGAGAAAAATTCTCGAGAATTTCCAGCAGTTGAGCCAGTGGGTGTTCTAACTGCTTGCTCCAGAGACTGGAAACATCGGAGAAGGCAGTCTTATTTACAGAAAACCCCTCTCCCGCCCTCCGTTAGCTAATTACAATTTTTCCAGGGACATTGCCATCACGAGGTAAGAGCCTGGAGAGTGTACTTCATTTATTTAACCGTTTATGATACTTACGGATGGGGGCACAGCCCACTGCTCCCGGTCCGCGGAATGGAGGGTAAACGGAGGAGGGTTCCCCAGGGAGGGGAGAGGAGGGGAGGGGAATATCTGTTTAGTTCCCCAGCCCCTTCAGTCCGAGCCCGGCGGCCGGTGCCTGGGTTCTCTGTGCGCAGCTTGCTTTCTTTTCGAGTTCTGGAGCAGCATGTCCGGGCGGGGCCCACCTTGGTGGCTGAGCCACCGGCTGCCGGCATTTCCTGCGGAGCCTTCGCGCTCGGCCTGAACTTGACTGCGAGCTGGAGGCTCCTGCCGAGCGAGGGTGGTGGGCCGGGCTGGAAGGAGGGAGGGGACCATGGAAGGGTCGATGGACGGGAAGCAGGGACCGCCCGCCCTCGCTTCCCTTTAGCGAGGCCCCGAGTCGCCTAGCCCCAACTCCCGGACGCGAGGATGCTGCGGGGGTCAGCGCCTTGTCGCCGCTGCAGCTGCGGCCGGGCCGAGGGAGACGTGGCGGTGGCCGGAATCTGTCCGCGGAGACTGCGGTTGGGAGGCGGGGTCTGGGCGGCGGAAGGTGCGCGAGGGAACCCAGCCGGCAGCATTGCCGCGCGCTGCGCCGGTGGGAGGCTGCGCTTGCTGCGGTGTATCGCCCTGGGTCGCTCAGCTGTCCCGGCCAGCGAGCCAAGCCCAGGATCCCGAACTGTCCAAGGGTGAGCTTTTCAGGGGCTCGGAAGAGAGAAGGATGCAGAGCCCTAGCTGGGATCGACCTGAGGACGTGGGTCTTGCTTTGCCAAGAGCGCACTATAATCTCAAGGCCTTGTGGCTGCTGACGTCTTCTTTCGCAGCCGCCGTCTGTCGATTAGAGATTTCCCAGGAGGTGACAAAGGCGAGACTCCGGGTGGCAACAGCCAGGGAATTTGGAGTCTCTAAAGCTCCACCGGCCTTTCTGAGCTTCAGACTGGAAATCTGCAGCAAGGCCTCTCCGGTCCTTGCACACTCCACCAGTGCGGAGGAAAGAAGGAGGTGGTCGGCGCTTTAGAACTGGGCAGCTAAGGTGACAGATTATGTTGGTCTTGAAAGACAGCAATAGTGTCGTAGTCTAGGGGAAAAAAAGTCTCAGTTATAATTTTTCAGGATTTTTTTCTCGGAACCTTAGTTGGTTTCTGTTGGTCACCAACACAGGCACCTACTTCCCTTGACTGGAATCTTAGAGAAGAGGAAGAGTGGGAGAGGTGCTGGTGATAGAACGTAAAGGAAAATTCTTCTTCTTTTTTTAAAAAGTTTACTGAAAATTTAATGTGTAGCTCTCAACGTTGTATTAGGTGCTCTAGAGGAAATGAAAAAGGATAAAATACACACTTTATACTCAGTTGTTCTGGAAAATTCTTAAATGAACGTTTGGAATATGGTCTGTATCCACATTAACTGAAATGTTTTACAAGATATTTATGGAATCAGAATGATGAATACTTTTCATTGCTCCCATGTTCTTGTCTCTATTCACACATCTAAATACATATGTTCACATCAAACCTAAGAGGAGTCATTGGAGGTTTCTGTTTTTGTTTTCTCCCTCATGTAGACTAGTAGATTTTCTTTCCTTCCTCCTAGCAGGGTACTGGTAAAGAGGATATTGGAGCCCAAATTTCCTGAAATACATTTTGGAGGTTTCCATAATATTTGAATCGATTGGGATGATTTTTTCTTTTTTCTAGAGTGCTTAAAGAATTATTTTAAGAATATTAAAATTTACCTGTGTTTCCGTTGTGCAAGTTACTGATATAAAGATACCTGAGTGCCACTTTATAATGGGCAAATGTGAATACTTCGTTAAATATTTTTGCTAGAGGTATAAATCTAAGCAAGTTTCAGTAGTACTGATCCCTAGAACTCCTGAGTAATTTTGGCATGTGCTTAACATGACAGCAATAAACTGCACTTTTTACCTGCTTTCAACAGTCAAGAGCAGTTTAACTCAAATCCCAAGTGCACGCTGCTGCCAGAGACCGGGAGCGCCTCCCTTTTCCAAAAGCACATTTGGACAGCTCCAAGGTGTTTAAATCATTGCGGGATTATAAAATTGGAATAAGATGAAGATGTAAACTAGGCACAGCAATCTTGTAGCTGCGGCTTTCTTCATCACACTCACCCCCTTTCATTTTTAAACAAAGTGTATACTTCAAAAGTTTACTAGAAACCAAATGCCTTTTTTTTCCCTTTCTGATGCTTTTCACCTGAGATTTCCTACTCTCAGGATGTGGCTTTTCACCAGCGCTCTACTGTGGAATCTCTATGCCTCCTCTCGTGGACTCACAACTTATTTCATTTAACCCTCTTTGCTGAGAATCCCCCCCGCTAGTCAGCGTTGTTCAATCAGGGGTCAACTGTCAGAGTTCTGTGTCAGGACTTTAAAGTATGAGATTAACCAAAAGCATTGAGGAGGAGGAAGATGGAGACCTGGTCACACAAATGAATATTAAAATGATGAAAATGGAAAGTATTTTCAGCGTTTATTTATTGTCAGTATGTAGAATATATGCAGGCTCACACTGACACGTTTTAAAAAATTCATGTGATTAAAGTAAATCGTGAGCCATACGTTTTGTGTTGATTGGGGAGTAAAAACAGTTTTGGTTTTGAATAACATATAACCTTCAAATAGAAGCAAAGGAGTAAACACCTCTTTTTTTGGTAATGGGATGTGGTTTCCCTTTGATAACCGGAGGTGCTATGTCTCCCCCGACCCCAGTGTCGTCATAAAAGAAGTGAGTTTCAGACTTTAGTACATGATATCAGCTAAAAGGCCAAGAGGGAACGGCCTCCTAAGTCTTTTGTGACCCATTAATAGTTTGGGAGGCCATCTTCATTCTAGATTCTGAGAAGGCAGGGCTCAGATGTCTTCCATTGCTTAGGTATCCAAGGGCGTTCTTTGGAACCTCATCCTTTCCTTCTACTGCTTTACTTACTGAAAGGAGTAATGGTCCTTCCTACACACAGCTAGACTGATTTCCAAAAACTTATTGAAAATGATTGTTTCAAATCTGTAATGCATTTTCTTGTAGATGAATTCAAGCTGGGCTTTTTGTGTGTGTTCATGTGTGCCTTTTGGGGAGATACATTTTTTTCAAATTCATTTTTTTATTGTGAATCAATTCAAACGTGCAGTTGAGAATAATATAACACCTGTATACCCTCCGCCGGCATTATCAAATCGTAACATTGTGCTATTTTTTACAGTTCGTTTTTAATTCATAAAGTAACAGAACGAAACACTGTGGAGACGAATTTCTGCTTAGAACCTTATTTGTATGGCAAACTGCCAGAAACACAGCCCTTCCTGCAGGGGTGTAGGAATTCCCCCTGCCAACGCCCTGGGGAGGCTTTCGGATGAGCTGCAGCTGTTAATGTAAATGCATAGATCAGAGGCTCATAAATCACGGCTGCTTGTCACACGTGCAGTTGCCCCCAGTTTCTGAGATCACACACACGACCCAATTTACATTAACCAGAATAATGAAGTTTAGTAAGTTGAGAAATCTTAAACTGAACTGAGATCCTAGATTGTATCTTTGCTAAAACTTGGGCACTCTCTGAGTACAGAACTATCATAAATATTCTATTAACCAGTTTTCTTTTTTTTCAATTTCTAACTCTTGTAAGAGACTTTGTTACTGTTAATATTTTTCCCCACCTTTTCTTCAGAGCAGTGGAGTTAATGAAGGGAAGACTATTTAGTTACACCTGTTTTCTATATTCTCGCTACTCAAAGTGTGGGCCTGCCCGACCAGCAACTTGTTTGCAGGACCAGGGAGCTGGTTGGAAATACGGCATCTCAGGCCTCACCTGACAGACTGAATCAGAATTTACATTTTAGCAAGATCCCCAAGTGATTGTAGGTTAAAGCTGGAGAAGCACTTGTTCTATGTGAGCTGTGCACATTGTCAAATTTTTATAGAATTTAAACCCTGTGAATGGGGTAGGTAAATCAATTCATTTTTGATCCACTATTCTTAGAAGTAGGCTGTTAAGTGCCACCTCCTTTACAGACTTCATTCTTGGTACTATCTAATGATATATCAGTTATATTTGAAATCATTGATGGAGTCTCTCTCTCTCTCTCTCTCTCTCTCTCTCTCTCTCTCTCCCCCTCCCTCTCCCTTTCTCTTTCTCTGTTTCTTTCGACTCAGTTGCATCGTTTCTCTGGAAGACAGCCCATTGTTGTTCCATTGACGGTTCCCTAATTCCTGAGTCCTCTGGAGTTATGTCCACAGCTGCCTTACTTACTTTGGTTAGAAGTGCTGGAAACCAGGTGAGGAGGAAAGCGCTACTCGGCGCCCGCCTGCTGCAGGACGACAGGTGGGTGACGCCCACGTGCCACAGCTCCACTTCAGAGGCCCGGTGTTCTCGGTTTGACCCTGATGGTAGCGGACGGCCAGCCACCTGGGATAATTTTGGCATCTGGGATAACCGCATCGATGAGCCGATTCTGCTGCCGCCCAGCATTAAGTATGGCAAGCCGATTCCCAAAGTCAGCTTGGCGAACGTGGGCTGCGCCTCGCAGATTGGCAAACGAAAAGAGAACGAAGATCGGTTTGGCTTCGCTCAGCTGACAGACGAAGTCCTGTACTTTGCGGTGTATGATGGCCATGGCGGACCGTCGGCGGCCGATTTCTGTCACACCCACATGGAGAAATGCATCCTGTACGTACAAATGATACAATGGCTTTCACTCTCTGCAGTGTGCCTTCTGCTTCCTGTTTAAACTTCACCTTTTGGCTGAGACATTCACTGCTTTTTTTTGTTTGTTTTTCTATGTATGTATGGCTGCATTGGGTCTTCGTTGCTGCTGTGCGCGGGCTTTACTCTGGCTGCGGTGAGCGGGGCTTACTCTTCGTTGCGGTGCGCGGGCTTCTCACTGCGGTGGCTTCTCTTGTTGCAGAGCACGGGCTCCAGGCGCACGGGCTTCAGTAGTTGTGGCTCGTGGGCTCAGTTGTGGCTCGTGGGCTCTAGAGCGCAGGCTCAGTAGTTGTGGCTCGTGGGCTCTAGAGCACAGGCGCAGTAGTTGTGGCGCACGGGCTTAGTTACTCCGCGGCATATGGGATCTTCCCGGACCAGGGCTCGAACCCGTGTCCCCTGCGTTGGCAGGCAGATTCTTAACCACTGTACCACCAGGGAAGTCCCAAGGTTCACTGTTAAGGTAGTTATTTGAGTGCTTTCACACTATTGTTTTATGAACAAGCAGTTGCTCAAGCATGCCAGTTATTACAGATGATTATTACCACTTCAGAAATATGTATGTTTTAACAACTCCCTTGGTGAGAGCATTGACCAGAATCTGCAGCCCTTGACTTGTGATCATTTCAAGTGAATTAACATAATAAAGTACATGATCTCATGTACTCTGAGAATCTATGAGTAACATTTACTCCTATCAGTGCAGGGCACACAGTGCTTCAGTAAGTGGTAATTATTCCTTCAAGTGGTATGAATAGCTTGGAATACTTGTTGAAAATAGCTTTAGATGATTGGCATTAGAATAGGGAAAATGCTTTTAATGAGGGTGCTTTGGAGCTCTTTAAAAAGTTTATTTACCGCAATTATTATTAATTATTATTAT